ATGAATTAATGTGTGAAAAATAACCAAAATTTGACGAATAAATCATGCGGACCAATCAAACTTAAGATTTTGACGGCAGATACCACTTATTGTTCCATATAAACCATCTACTTCGTGATTTCATCACTCCGTTCCTGGTATAGAAATGTTTACATCACTGTCACTTGGGCTAATTCAATTTTGAAATTTTTGTAAACCAGTAACCATAAATGCATCAAAAAAGCAACCCTAACTCGGACAGGCCTTTAATCAACCCCTTTTATGACTGTTTTTTTTTTTTATAATGCTCAGTAGTGACAGAAGGAGATATTAGCACAAGATCTTTGTTAATTGGGTTGCAGAATCCGTGCCTAAAACATCAGTGAAAAGACAAAATAAGCAATATCCACGTCACATTATGTAACTGATTCTCTTTGTAGCTATATAAAAATCTCAATGGCTTCCTCTCTATACTTAGGAATTATAAAAAACTTTGGATTGTATTATGAGCGTTCCAAGGAAAGACCTCAAACCTAAATTTAAATTTATTATTATTATTTACTAGTCTTAGCCACGATTTCAAACATATATGATATGTATTGAATTTATATATATCTCTGATTAGAGCTAAATCCAACAAATAATAATAATAAATTTAAATTTCCAGTTTGAAGTTTTTCTTGGCAGTAATTATATGATTTGTGAAATTTATTATTGCACAAGAATATCTTTGATTAAATTTAATTGCATCACATTCCTGGTTTTAGCGCAACTATGTCGCGCAGCTACTCTAATTTGATGTAACTAGGCACTTGTGTTGCTTAAAGAGAGTTAGAAATAAGTGTACTTTATCAGATATTGTATTATACTAGTGCAAGTTCCTTATGTTGTGATTAGGCTTCATGGTTGCAATAGCAATGCAAGAACTGAATGTTGTTATTAGGCTTTATAGTTTTTGCAAGGAATGTAAGAACTTTATATTTGGTGATTTAGCTCTGCAACTACGATAGCAGTTCAAGAACCTCATGTGTAATTAGGCTCTGTGGCTGCGATAGCAATGCAAGGTCCTCATGTTGTGATTAGGTTCTATGGGCAGTAAAGAGCCTCATATTTGGCAATTAAGCTTTACAACTACAATAACAGTACAAGAATCTTATGCTGTAATTAGGTTCTGTGACAGTTATAGCAATGCAAAAACCTTGTATTGTAATTAGGTCTCGTGGTTGCAATATACAGTAAATGCAAGAACCTAATATGATTAGATTTTATGGTTGTGACAGGCAATATAAGAACCTCTTGTTTGGTAATTAAGTTTTGTAACTACAATAGCAATGCAAGACCTTATGATTAGGCTCTATGACTGCAAGAATCTTATGCTGTGATTAGATTTTATGGGTGATGCAGACAGTACAAGAACATTATATTTTGCAATTAAGATTTGCAATTACAATAAGAGTACAAGAATTTTACATTATAATTAGACTCTATATTTATGATAGCAATACAAGAATTTCATATTGTTGTTATTTTTTTTGGCTGCTGTGAGTAGTACAAGTTTATAACTATTATAGCAGTACAAAGACCTCATATTATAATTAGGTTTTATGGTTGCTGTAAGCAATGCAAAAACCTTATATTTGGCAATTAAAGATCTGCAACCATGATAACAGTAAGAAGATCTCATATTGTAGTTAGGCTTTGTGGCTGCAATATTAATGCAAAGATCTCATATTGTGATTAGACTCTATGGTTATCACAGGTAATGCAAATATCATATATTTAGTAATTAATATTTGTAACTATACTAAAATAAAAGAGCCTTATATTATAATTAGATTTATTATTGTGATAACAATACAGAACTTTATATTGTAATTAGGTTTTATGATTACTGCATAAAGTATAAGAATCTTATTTTTAGCATTAAGCTTTGCATCTATAATGACAATTAGCTGCTAGATATGTAAGTATCGAAGCAGCTTTTGTCTCAAATCATATGCTATCTGATCAAACATATGATAGGCCCTCTTACGGTCACATGTTTGTCAACTATCAGTTAATTGAACAAAAGTATAAGGTAATGCGAGTAATAAGTTATAAGGTTGTTGGTTATAGCATAATTAATAGAATAGTTTATTAGTTAGAGGTAATTGAGTAATGATGAGGTAATTGAGGTAGTATGAGGTAATTGAGTAATTATAAGGTAATTGAATAGTAGTATATTAGTAAAGTTTGAGAAATAATGATAAATAACTTTGTCTTTTCTGTGAACCTGACTTTCATTCTGGTTACATTGATCCCTTCTGCCCTTCTCACAATTAAGCACTCTTTGAGTAAAGTAACCTGCTGAAACTGCAGTCATTTGTAAAGAAAAGAGACAAGAGTAGGTAGGTTATCAAGTTTTGTAAATATTTAGAATTGTGATCTGTTAGAATGCCAGTTGTGATGGTAAGATAGTCAGTTGGGATGATTGCTAGAAGCAATTAGATTTTTGGTAATGAAAATGCTTAGTAAAAGACTATATTAACCATCCAATACTCATGAAAGCTGTATAGGATGCTTGATAATGGAAGAGATATTAAGCCACATGATATGAAGTATCAGAGTAACTATTTGTCTTGAATTAACATGAATACAACCAGGTCACATGGACATGCTAGTAAGGCTGTATAACATTTGTGTATCTGAAGCAGGTAAGCTGAGTTTAGATCAAGACAGATATATATAAGGGCATAGATGGATATGTAGAAAGCTGTCATTTGTTTTTTCTGCAAACACAACTTTCTTGTCTGATTCTTTCGTGCAAACAAAACTTTAGCTTTCATATAGTCATCTATTGAAAACTGTAATATCATATTCTTAAATAAATAAGAAATCCAAATTTCACGTTCATAAACAAACTGAATACCTGTGTTTACACATCAGAACTAGACTAAAACCTGTTCATGTAAGGAAATTTAGTTATGGCCTCAAATTCAGAAAACACTTTACAGCAAGAGAACAGGTAAACTTTGAAGCAAATTTTGTAAGGATGTTACTGGATATGTTGAGATATTTTTGCTGTGAATAGGAACTCTCAGAAACAGATATAAAGCAAGAGTTAGTTTCATGTTTGGTAAATAAAAGTAAGAGAAGAACAGGTGGAAATGAACTTAAAGGTCCTAATACAGGCACTAGAAAGGGTAAAGAACCATTCTTAGAAGAGAGATCAACTTGGTTTGAGAATTATTATAGTTCTGGAATAGAAGATGAGTTTAGATATGTAGGAAAGAGAGATAGTAGTATAGTTCAAGCATTCTTTATGGAGGATTAGAACCAACCACAAAGGAAGATGCCTGAGCAACATTTACATCAAAGTGGTCCTATACCATATGATTTTTCTTTATATAAAAAACAGATGACCTTGCAAGCAAGTATAAATCTTGAAATAAAGAACAGCTATAATATGTGAAAAAAACATTAGTTAACAAGGCTACAAAACCAATGGGAGTATAGTGAATAGTGCAAGATAGAAACATTGTTAGACAAGGCACTGATAACAGGTGAATGGAATTATATACATCAAGCAAGACAGGCAGTAATAGAGCAAGCTTATATGGTGCAAGTTGCAGATAAAGATGGTTGACAAGTAGCATCAAAGATGCTTGGTAGTAAAAGGGAAAGAGCTAAAGCTGCAGCTCAACAGCTACCAAAATTTAAGAGACAGAAGATGTCATAAGAAAATAAGCAATCTTAGCAGTATATTTCAGAACAGAATGTCTAGCAAAGCCAAGGAACCTATCCAACAATTGTTCTACTCTATATGAGTGAACAGTATAAACAACCCTGGCAAGCAACACCAATGTTATCTCTTTAACCATTTCTTAGCAATTCTTTTGCGCAACAGTTGCAAACACAAGCACCTTGCCTATATTCGTCATTTCAAAAACCTAGTAAGCCTTTTGCACATTAGTCTGACAGAGGTTCAGAAAAGGGTCTTACTTATGAAAAGCCTACAGAAATAGTTTGTTATCTTTGTGAAGGAAGAGGGCATTTCGCAAATGAGTGTCCCTTAAAAAGACATATTGGACAGCCCTTTTGAAAACAAGGGTTCCAATCAAGATAGAACTAACTACACTCAGAGTATTACAAAACACCAGCAGAAAACAAAGGTGAAGTTAAAGAGGAAAAAGAGAAGAAGGAGAAATTATAGTTACTGGAAGGATTCATCAGATAGCAGCAAGAAAGTATTGAAAGAAGGAAATAAAACCTTCTTCACAAGTAATTGAATGGTAAGAATTGGGTGTTTCTTTATATCCAAGAAATGTAATAGAACTTATGAATTAGCAGAACCCAAAGATACAGAGTTTTTTAAAACAAAAACAGAATTAGTTAGAGCAAGAATTAGTAAGAATCCAAGAAGCAGAAGTGATAAGATTAGTAGGAGTAGGCAGGAACTGCTCACAATAGCTCTTAGAGATAAGCCTAGTCTTCTTAGTTCTCACAAAGAGATTATCAAAGTACAGGCTAATAATAGATTTGCAAAGATTGAACAAGTTGATTCTGCAAAAAACTTTTAAGTTCAAGAGTCATGAAGGTCTATTATGGTCTATCAGCTAAAACTGGTAGGGTATTACCTTTGATCTCAAGAAAAGATACCATCATGTTTTAATAACTTCAGAAGCACAAAGATATCTAAGTTTCAGATTTAAGGAAAA